GTTTTGTGTGTGTGAGAGAGAGAGATGTGTGCGTGTTTGTGTTGTGTGTGTGTGTGTGTGTGTGTGTGTGTGTGTGTGAGAGAGAGAGAGAGAGAGAGAGAGAGGTGTGCGTGTTTGTGTTGTGTGTGTGACACAGAGAGAGAGAACCAGAGGGAGTGTGTATGTGTCAGAGAGAGAGAGAGAGAGAGAGGTGTGTGCGCGCGCGCGTNAGCAGAGGCTCTCTTCGGAGCATTTCGCACATAAAATTGTTGCTGGAGACGGGCGCCGCGGTGCATAGTTTGAGCACGCGTGGCAGTAACTGATAAAGCTTTAGTGTAGGGGCGAATAGAGACTTGCGCCGAATTAACGTCCGTGCAGTCTAAACCTGGAATCGTGACAATCGGCGTCGTTCGTTATCGTAGGGCCATCTTGCTTCTACGCATTATGAACCTGTTTCACTCCGCGCTCGCGATCTGCCGTCTCAGACTGCTAGCGCGTTTTGCGCGTTTTTATGCTATATTACAGCACTGCAGGAAGATCAAGGGCCTGCAGCGTACAGCAGCACACATGATGCTATCAGTTGCGTTTTAGGATCTGAGCCAGCAGCGGGCACTAGTAGACGCGTGTAGCTAAGATGGTCGTTGCGGGCAAAATATGCGTTGTACCGCGGACCCACTACTTACTACTACTGACTAGTAACTAGTAGTTAGTAGTACTACTAGTTACGCAGCAGCTACTAGTACTTAGTACTAGTAATCTACGCGAAGGACGCGCAGAGGCTAATAGTATATAGTAATGAAATGACTAACTCTGCTTAGCTAACGTTATTAAACTAAGCTTACTAAATAGTAATAATGACGATAGCGCCTAAGGCCTAACTCAATAAACTCCCGCTAATACGGCTATAATTATATTGATATAATATTATATTTAGATTGATCGTAAATGACATTGGTTTTAATTGGGCGGCATTGCCGATAACATTGGGGCCCATATAATATTGGGAGCCATGTTCTCTATCCTTGAACCAGCTAGTACTTACTAGAACTACTAATATGACTAGCAAGAATCGGCTCTTGCTAGGGTTAGAATATCCTAGGCTATACTAGACACAGGCACGTTGGAAAGCGTTTGCAAATAAATATAATGGGCTAACTAAATACGAAATCTATTTTCTACGAAATTGTGAATGTTTTCTAGTATAGGGCCTTAACTCTCTTTTCCAGATAGGTTGGCAGAGGTGCAAGGCCTATATATAGACTAGGACTGCGCTCACACCTCGATTAGCGCATTGATGTGACTAAGTCTAAGCCGAGAGTGCGATGAGAGTGCCAGTGCTACTGGGGCTGATAGGGGCGGGCAGGCGGCCCAGCACTGCTTTTCCATAACTCCGTAGCGAAGCCTGCGCCAGTTCGAACGTTGCAAAAACGTTCCAGCGTTGGGCCAGCGAAGAGCGGCGCGGTAGGTGTTTCGTGATTCTGAACAGGTCTCGTTTCCATTAGCTGGCAGCAGGTTCGGCGAATGTCAGCATTTCGAGACAGTGCTATTCTGTGATTGTCGCCGTGCACACAGCTCGATTAGCGAACAGATTACTTCGTTAGCAGTTTTTATAGGGCAAGTCAACATGCTGTTGTACGTCCGCAAATGTCTACCTCTCTGTGTTCCCGCCAGCTAAAATTGTGGACTGTTCGCTGGCAGCTATGGAGCCGTGCGCTCGCGCCAATTCATTCGGCGCACGGATCCATAGCTGCCAGCGCTGCATATCATGTCGTAGGACGTTCCCAGCGGTCGCGTGCGCGGCCTTGCCGGCGAAGACTGCGAGAAAGATGCTGCGGCTTCAGGCGCAATTGGGATGAACTATCTCGCGTTTCGGCTAACGGGCTTCTCTAGTATGCGGCCGATTGCTTCATACTGGATTGTCTTGTCTCAACAAGTGTCATGAATTATGTGATTTTTTGTCTGTGAAAGGTAACGTACAAATAAATTCAATGGCTAGTGCGTGAAGCGCTGCTATTTATATTAGATCTTAGTCGTAAGCTCTAGAGCGTTTTTTATTATTGTCTTGGAGCAGTATTATGCCTATGAGTAGAAGTATCAGGAAAAAGATGAGATTAGGACTAAAGTTCTTTCTGTTAACTAGCTGCAGACTCTTTAGGCTCACAGCTGTTGTCTTGCAGCCTGGCCTGGCTACAAAATGCATGGCGTACATCGCGGTTAAATTCGCTGTATGCAGGTTTCTTACGAAACCCTCGAGTGTAGCTGTTGCATCATATGTTACCTGACAAATGTAATATGGGTTTTTTTTTTGGCAGAGCACACAGATGACATGTCAGTCGCTCAGTCGGTGGCCTTGTCGTTTGATGACCCGGTCAGTGTTGTATTAGTTATATATACGTGATAAACGTTCATAATGCAAGACTTACTTAAACGACGATTATCAATTTAAATTGGCCTAATTTGCTTCATTTATCTTGCATAGCACAATGGTAAATTAATCATTAACAAAGTTTAGTGTTTCGGTGCCCAATTCCTTTTTCCCGTTAACCATGACATGTATAGTAAATCATAGTATTTTCTGATTATATGTAGAAATTTCGTATTCAGATACTTTTCTTTATGAAACACATGTGTATCAGAATTCCATCATATTCAGTCTTTCATATTCAGTACTTTCTGTAAGCATTCCGACAATGCGGTGTATTTCATCTGTGTGTTTGTTCACAGGCGACCAGTGATGTGAAGATTGCATTGGAAGGGAAAATCATTCATGTTCACAAGGTCATACTGAAGATTAGGTGTGTGCATCACGTTGAATTCCGCTCTTATTCACTTGACCCTTGATCTTCCTCGCAGTTGATTATATTAATTATTGATTATATTGATCTCATTGATTGTTTCCGGTGACCGTCACCGCAGCCCGAGTAATGGTTCGAAATTAATTAGAATCGTTTGTAATGGTTACCTGATATTTTACCTGGTTAATGTTGTAATTACGTAAGATTGCCTTAACATCAATCTGATTAATGGTTTAATTTATTAAAATTACACTAACATCTGCCTGATTAATGGTTTAATTTATCAAAATTACACTAACGTCTGCCTGATTAGTGGTTTAATTTATCAAAATTACACTATAACGTCTGCTTGATTAATGCTATCTCGACCTGACAATGGTGGTCATATCTGCCTCATACATGAGAGTAATTATGAGCCACAAGTGTGAAGCTATAATACCACTTAATAATATCCTCTTTTAGATGTGAACATTTTCGATCAATGTTTCAATCTCACTGGGAGCAGGATGGAAAAGAGTGAGTACCACCTATTTCACATAGAGCAAAAATGAGGAGCTATTGTGAATAATAATGTACTATTTGTGATAATATGAAAGAAACATTTTTGCTTCGATTCTTGACTTGTTGCATGTATTATAGCATTATATTGCATAAACAAACGTTTTCTGATGTATCAACCATCTCCCACTCTTTCTCTGCCTTGCCTGTTGGATATACTTTGCACCTCGTTCAATCGTCTTCATTCGTCGTAAATTGCATGCATCCACCCACAGATACACATCACTGATGTTCACTCTTCCGTTTCTCCCACAAAATTGTTGATTGGTTGCCATATTTCAGCGTAATTGAGATATCACAGTTCACATATCCAGTGTACAGGGCCTTCCTGCAGTTCTTGTACACAGACAGGATAGACCTGTCACCGGAGCATGCTATAGGTATTACATTTTGTGAAGTAATATAGTTTTACATACCTGCACATCATTGTTACTTTTATTAGCTCATCTGACGAAGTCAGATGCAGCTTGTAGAATCGCATGACCGTGCGTCCGTGCGTCAACAGTTGGGCACAAATCTTAACCGCTCGACGTACGGTCACGATATTTGGGACGTCGGGGGGGGGGATCGTGAAAAGGACTCGGGATGACAAATTTGGGGATCAAGGGTCAAAGGTCAAGACGTGTAAACGGAGGGGGAATATTTCCTTCGTAACATAAGGTATAGGAGGAAATACGGAATTGCGGCACAAATCTAAACGGCTCGACCTATGCTCTTAATATTCGGTGTATATAGTGTGATGGGCAGGAAACCCATCACCAGTGTGAATTTGGAGGTCACAGGAAAAAAGGCAGTGGGGAAAGGTCAGATATCAGACATTTTCTGAGGACATGGCCTAATAGACAGAGTGAAAAACTTGAAATGTGCTTTCCAATGACGTGCGAAGAGTAAGTGTCTGATAACCTTTTGACCCTCAAGAGGAGGGTTAAACATGGATTTGTGGACTGTTAACAAAGGACTGAACTGTGTTTGATCGTACTTGTGTGATCGTGAAAGACTTAAATTTCACAGTGAAATTCTGCATGCAAAACTTACTTGAACAACGTTTACGCGCCTTAAATCATATATGAACTTCATTCTCTATATGAGATTCTGTACGTTGGGAATACAATGTCAATAGCACTTATGCAAACTATAAATAGGCCTACCTCGTTGCTATCCCCCGGGCGTGGAGGGAGGGTCACGTGATATAGTTGACGTATACTTCAAAATCATTACTCATCAGGTAACGCTAACTCCAATACCTCCAACGCTAACCATTACACTAAACATATCTATCTCGGAGCGCTATATATAGGTCCAAAAATCCACAAAAATTAATCTATGGTGTGGGGACAGATATCATAATGCAAAAACCCTAACCCTAACCCTAACCCTAACCCAATCCCTAACCCTAACCCTAATACTAACCCTAACCCTAACCCCAACCTGACCCTAACCCTAATCCTAACACTATCCTAACACTAGTGCTGCCACGTTGCGGTAACCTCCCTCCACGCCCAGGGGATAGCATTACCCGCAGGTGGGTGGCTGATGGTATCACAGCATGGGCTAAACGAAGGTAGCAACTAGTTCGGATTATCTATTCCCTGCACCTAGTCAGTATCCACTCCATCTATCGGAACAGAGTGAGAAGAATGTCCCGGCAGGATAGGTCAAACGTATATTGCGCTCAAAAGTGCAGAAATATAATGACTTTCTTAACTTCAGTTTAACCAATCTTGAGATAAGTAATTGCAAAAATGAATCGTCAAACCTACCAATGAAAATTTGCCAGTTTGTACTGTCCTTGGCATGGCTCTCTCCGTCGACGTTACAGTAGTCTGCAATGTGGGGATATGATGGAGCATGCTGGCTTGTGGACACTGCAGGGCCCGATGGTTGACTGTCAGTCGAAATGTATTGAAGAAATCTGTACGTTATACGTGCGTCTACCTTATCTCTGCCTGCCATCTTCGTCGAAAGTTTGGACGCCGCGCGGCGAAATCGGAATGTACATTTCAATCAATGACGTAACTGATACGTACAGTAGCGCGCCGCGTGGTTGTTATTTGTTTATAAACAATTTAGTCTGACTGACTCTCTCCCCCTCTCTCTCTCTCTCTCTCTCTCTCTCTCTCTCGCTCTCTCTCTCTCTCTCTCTC